CCACAGATTTGTTAATTTTTTTCTTCTTAACCATCAAAAAATGATTTTTATTGATAAATCATCAAAACGCATTAATGATAATAAATTCAATCCCATGCAGATACACCGAATCTCCAAGTAGTACAGATCAATATATGGTCAGACTCACCTCAAAGTCACTAGTAAGCGATGAAAACTTTTTATTTCCACCAGCAAATCTCAATTATACCTTACCTCAAAACACACTTGCAATCAATAAAGTTTCCTCACTGGCCATGGCAAAAAGCAAAAGCTTGCTTGGCAAACTGCACCGCATCCATTGAAACCAACTCGAAACACGCAATAAAATTTCTTGCCGTGAAAAGCCGTGCCGATTAAGATATTATCGTCAAAGGGCGGAGCCCGAGCCAACCGACGCGTATTATGTTTTTGCAGCTGAATATAACTCGACGACCGTCGACTAGAGCCCGATTGCGGTCTCTCTGAGCGTCCTTTTCCCTGTCGCTTCCTGTTTGACCAGTAAGTAATTTCAAAAAGGTAAAAAAAGACATTGCCACCTTCTGACGTTTTGCTGTTTACAAACTTCATTTTCTGTAAAGGGCAAAAAATGAATGATTCGCCAGAAAAATTGTCAAAGTGAAGGGCTACGCAATAAAACAATCGAGTACTGAAATGTGCGCGGAAGCAGAAACACGAGCAAGTAAGTTCTCGCGCTCGAGTTGCTTGAAAGCGACTTGACAGGGCGACTCATCTTCGGTCCCACTTTCTTCAGTGACTTACTCCTGCCACCGTCAACCAGCACTCGCGCGACCGATCATTTCCACCTTTCCTCCTCCTTTGGCACTATTACACACGCGGCTCTGGTTATCTCGGCGAGAGCTTTTACGTTGAACGTGGCGAAAACACTGCGTGTATTTGGATTATCTGTTTGGTTAGCAGTGGTGGCTGCGTGGTAGTTTGCCAAGTTGCTTTTCGGGCAGACCATAGTTGAAAATTCAATCTTTGACTTTGTTAATTTGCAAAGGGTTAACTTTGTACGTAACTTTGTACGGTGCTAGCTTTTTAACAATTAATAGCGCCGAATTACGATCTTGCACGTGACATCGAGCGTTTTGGGTGAAGTGGTATCGTTTTGTTGAATAATTCGTCGACGTAAGTCTAATTTTGTAAATATGAAGAAATTTTTAAACAAAGCAAAGGTTAATATCAAAAAGCGGAGTAAAGGAACTCTGTAAAGTTGGCAGAGCTATCGCACGTCAGCCTGCTTTGAAAACTCTCTTTTATTTCCGTGCTTCTCCCGTGTCTTTGTGACTTTTTTTTTTGGTGTAACTTAAAAAAGTACCAACAAAGAATTTAAGCTGTTCTGGGATTCACTTTTAACTTTGAAAACATGAAGAATTTTTGTTTTGGTGACCAAGTAACGTCAGTTTAGTAACCACGTTTACTTTGGCATACAAGTAGATACGGTCAATGTATGGTCAGACACGGCGCATTTCCGAAATATTTAAACCTCGGCTATTGTCTGACTGTCGATATCATAACTATGTGCATCTGCAAATAATTCAAATGATCAAGCATTCGTGTTGTATTCGTACAGAACATCCATCGCATCTGTTGAATCGCACAAAAATATCGGGTCACGAAAAACGGCTTCATTCGATTTCCGCCTCGTAGCCGAATAATTGAGGTACCGCATCATGGGTGGAAAAAAAATTGGTCAGTCGTGTGTCCATGAAAAAAAGGAAAAAAACATCGTGCAGCCAATCAACGACACCTACACTGGCTAATGAATCAACTGGATGAAAAAAACTACGCCGACAGTGGTGTGTATCTTGGAAAAAGATAACCGGGCCAGCCGTACACATATAATATTTGCTCTCCGCATTACAGCACACGAAAACTCACACGCGTGCTCGGAGCTGTGAGAGAAAAAAAACACTCACACACACACATCTTCACGTGGGTATTCGTGCACACAACCAATGTACACTCACATCGGCAATTCAATCCATTAGTTTTAAGCTCTCGATACGCTGTGACCAGGGTTACGTTTGCAAACACATACACGCGAAGATAATACGCAGTGTGCATACGCAGATAAGTAGTAGTGACAGTAGTTTGCAGGGTCGGGTGCAACTTGCCAGTTGAGAGGAAGGCCACAGTGCATTTTGTCTGGACAAAGTCACGCTGACACACACACATACACACACAAGTGCCGTGTTACAAGTAGTAGTAGTAGTAGTAGTAGTAGTAGTAGTGATTGCGACAGAGATTCGTAGATTCGAAAGACAAAGAGAATCAGAGAGAAGTGTAACAACTGTACTTACAGCTGCAGAGAGTGACTTGGCAGTGCGGTCGAGGTGGAGGAGGGGTGGATGTTCGTGTTTGTACTCTTGATGTTGCGAAGGGTGAGTCGGAGGGAGAGTGACCTGATGGACGGGGGCCGAAGCTTTAGATGGGGAGGATTGTTCGTTGGTGCGGGAGATTAACACATGGCCAAATCGATGGGCGCGTGAACGTGTTTGTGTGCTTGGGTATGCGATTGAGGAACGGCGTGGATTGATGTATGTGTATGAGGAAATCCACAAAAAACATCCCATTTCGGTAAAAAAAAAATGTTTGTGAGACACACCTTCGAGATTGGGCTCGTTTTACTCATAATCCCAAGTACTATGAGGAAACATTTTTGATCATTGGTTTCAGTGAGGTTGACGCCCTTTTCCCGCGATTCACATGCTACTATTATATGTATATAGATAACATATGTATGGATATAATTTTAACACGCAAATCGCGGAAAAAGGGTATCCTTTCATTGAAACCCATGTTCAAAATATTTTCCTCATAGTAGATCACACAACGAGTAAAATGAGCCTGGTTTCACCTCAAAAAAAATTTTTTTTATTGAAATAGGGGACAAAAACGGGGTATTTTTTGTGGATTTTCTCACATATATGATGGCTTGAAGCTGCCTTTTGTCCAAATGTTTTGGCCCATAATCGACAAATGGTGCGGGAGCGTGAACAGAGTGTGTTTGTGGTTGGGCGAGCGTTTTATGCGCCAACTCATGCTTAAAGGTAGTTACATTTCGTAACTACTAGTTCATTTTGTCCTTGTGTTGTTACTTTTTTTATTTAAATATTATTTTAATACTGTAGCAGCAGAGAAAAAGAATGGCAACGAATGCACACGTAATTGTGCATTTTTTTTTCTTTTTTATTGGCTTTCTAGCACATACCTATGTAGCATATATGAAATAGCCTACTTGTGGAGGAAAAATCAAGAAAAAAAAAACTGGTTTTGCGTAAAATATAGGCACATTCGATGCTCAACGCTATATTCTTGTGGACCAGGTTTATCTAACTTTCGTGAAAACGAAAGGTGTGGGTCAAAACTTCGCTGATGACCTCTCGCGAGTCACTCATTGCAAGTGTAGTTTCTCGCAGCGGAGGTCGGTTTTGCGAAGGCGATGGGTCTCTCATAAGGCTCGCACATGCGTGCTCACGTGGTACAACAGTCCTGAGACGGGAATGGGAAAAGAGAAGTACAGTAGACAGTCAGATATTACTCTAACGAATAGGTAGATATTTATGTATATAATATTGCACTAGTGTAGAAGTGATGGTTGGTGGTTGGTGGTTGGTGGTGGTGGTGGTAGTGGTCTCTTGCTCATAGTACAAATTATGTGCAAGTGACGTCTTTTTATTTTCGTTGACCTGAAAAAAGAGATATTTAAAAAAACGTGGCTGTACGTGTGTAAGAGAGAGAGAGAGAAAGAAGGAGAGTTGGTTGCACACATGATAAACACAAGGAGTAGGAGGAAGAACGTCTGGAGAGTGTAAGCCCTTTTTCACGAGGAAGAGAGAAAAACTCGGGTGAGGATAAAAAAAAACGAGAGGCATCATCGTCATACCGATTGCGAGGCAAAACGGAGTTGAAAAAAAAAGAGTATCATGTTGCGTACATCAAATAAGACACGCACAAAAAGAGAGCAAGTGAGTGATGTTACTTTGATGTCAGTGCACCCCCAGCGCGTGTCGTTTTAATCCTTCGTACGTGCCTCAGACACTCCCTTTGGTTTAATTTTCAAGGAGGAGACGAGAGGAAGGAAGGAAGGAAGGAAGGAAGGAAGGGATCTGTCTTTCAAGCTTTGGGTGTCTGCCATTCACGCCTCGGGTTTAATTTTGTATGGAACCCCTCCCAAGCTCTTTAGCTACATTAACTCCTCGTAAGCTTAAATATCGCGGGACGCGTATAGCTGAGCTTTCTCTTTCAAAAGCTGATGTTTTTTTTATATCTTTCTCATTTTTATTTGCCCCGATCTACAAGCTTGAAATAAACATCTAGCTTTCCTTGCTGCTCTTTTTGCACCCAGAGAACAAAAGTAATCCTGTAAACAACGTGATAAAACGAGTCCGAAAAAAAAAAAAAAAAAAAACCATCGAAAAGTTCGTTACGATCGTAGACACTATGCGCGCGGATAAGGGAGGGCGCGAGATAACAAAGAGCAGAGAAGTTGGCAGCGTTAATTGCTCGCGAGTATCGCTTTTTGCCCCCTCCCAAAAGTAAGTAAGAGGAATTCCGTGTAGCCCGCGACCCCGTGCTCTTTTGCTCCCTGTCAATGATTGCGACTCGCGCCTCCGACGGTGAGTAAGTAAGTAAGTATACGAGTGCCACTGCTCTTGGCGCTAATTGCGTTGTTCTGCTCTTCGCGCCTCGAGTTTGTTGCACAACGCCCCGTTCGAATGTACGTGGATTTTCTTGTTCCACTGCGGATCCTTGCGCGACTGGGTGATGAGCTACGGTAGTCGTTGAGTGCAGCGCCGCGTCTGACGACGTAATGGAGTATATTTGGACGGTTGGGAATTTCTCTCTTCCTGTGTGTCAAGGTGTGTGTGTGTGTAAATGTAAGTGGATAAAGTTGGTATGGTTCATTAAAAATGATAGAATTGACGTTTGTTAAGAAACTGGCCGTCGCTGTTCGCTGATGATGTTGGGGAGGCCGCGTGCTGGATACTTACAACTTTCGATTTCGATGTTGCACAGCTGCCGATCCATGGGAAAGTACTGCAGGTTCATCGGACACGACGCAGTGATCGTTAATCTGCAACAGAACGAAGGGAAAATTTTTCAGTCCATGAAATTTTGGTTTACATCCCACAGGTGCACGGGAAAAAGGGATATTGAGGATAATTTAAAAAATAGTTTCCGTCAGACTTGCTTCAATCGTGCAAGTAAGGTCCGCGCAATGGGATATAAAGAGAACAGACGGGTATGTTGCTGCAACAGTGCGATTGAGAGATTAGAGCTTTGGCCGGAGTTGGGGGATCAATTGTTACCATGGAACTGAACAACGAGTTGCGCGAGAGACCAAAGAAAAATTTGCCTCCACACCAGCATGAGGGTTGTATACGGTCCTGTAGGCGTGGGTGGAACGAAAAAGACTGTCCATAACTCGAATGTACGGAGAAAGTGTCTTCTTTTTTGGGGACTCGTATTGTTTTGGGAATTTCGTTTATTAAAATTTGAAAAATTGAGGAGCCGTTTATTCATTACCCTCTAGATCTCATCAGGTGAAAGTTAAATCTTTCCGGGGGTGAAAACTAAAACGATGATTTTAATTATAGAGTAACTCGAAGGAAGAGTCATACTTAACTCATAAATGTAATCGTTTCTCTCTTTATGAGTTCATTTTTACCCTGATCTAGGCTTTGTGCTGCTTTTACAGGTAAAAAAACATTGTGTTTTACGTTATAAAGCTGTCATGACTTATTTGCAAATTCAGTTTCCACTCAATCCTTGACTCAGTCAATTTTAAACAGTATTTTTCAATCACTCGTGTATATCAATTTTGCGATGAATTCACCACTACATATACGCGAGACCCGTTTCACGCAGGAACGACAAGCTTTCCGTCATAGTAGTGACAAAAGCAGAGACAAAAATCCAGCTAGCCACGGCAAACTGGCAAACAACACCTCTCGCACACCACTGGCTCCTCCTATTAATTTCGTTATTATAATTTTAATGGGCGATGAACTGCGTACAGCGACATCATAACCCATGATTCGATTTCCTTGAATGTAAAATTCGCTGAAGCTCAGTTCGGCCCAACTGATTTTCCACGCCCACCTACTCTCTTTGCGTGTTTATTCTGGCCCCTTTGATTCTCACCCATACGTAATTATCGTCATTATCGAGTGATTGCTCGTTTCTCGTGGATGATTTTACTGCCCCCTCGTTAGTTTATTTTTGAACTGATACATGTTTGCGTTGCCGTACTTAATACTTGCGCTACTTTCAAAGTTTCGCGAAACATTTTTCGATATGATTAAAATACGGAAGCCATGATTTCAGAGCTTTTCTTGCAAAAATGGAGCAAACAAAAAACGAGGAAGATAAGGGACAGCGCGAATATCCGAAATATCAGAGACGAAGTTGACGAAACGCTTACAACGCAATTTACATTGTGTCTCCTTAACTCGAGTCCAACCCCGCAGAGTACACCCCTTCGGAGTAACTTTATTACAGTCCATTCGAGACTTGACAATGCACCGCAAATTAATGTACAACTGTACCTTGCATAATTCATTTTGGCGGATTTTCGCTTCGCGGGTGTATACACGCGCAACAATACCCACGCGCGATACAACGCAATCAAGCGCAAAATGGATTTCGAGGAGCTTGACGTCATCCACGTGGTTTGGCCGACAAAAACGAGTCCACAAACATCGAGACGATAATTGCGTCCTGACCCACAGCCACGCCGTTGGTGCCTGTTTGCGATGCCGCGACAACTTTAATTTCCAAACTTCGTCCCTCATCCCGTTGTCTCGGGGATAGCGTGGGACTGCGGCTCTTCACGCAACACCGTCGTTTGGAGGGAGGAGATTTGGTTAATCGAATCGCGCAATCTTCGAGCCCGAGTACTCGCTTGAGAATCAATTTCATACGAACTTTTCGACCCACATTTTCATGGTATTGCGGTAAATGTGCAGAGATATTGGATTCCCCGAGCTCCCTTTTGCTAAAGTTATTCCACTCCAAGCCAGGGGATTTTAATATCTTTGGAAATGCATTAAAACAATCGAGCACTCGGCAACTTTGAAAAGGGCGTAGGCCCAATTAGTTCCCGAGAGTCGAGTAATCAACGCACACCCGGCAATGGCCGGTCACCGTAGCGTCAGATATGTACTTTCGGTCGATAACGAAATCAGGCAAACGAACCGACGACGCCAACTCCGGCGCGCCCTCCAATCAATTGGTTTGCGGTCACGCGTATATCTTTGCTCCTTTCGCTCGTGTCATGTGCGAGCAATTGAACGCTTTTGCTGTTACCGTAAGCGCTTCGGTCGAAAAGGATTGAATTACGCGCGTTTTGCAAGAGTATATGTCTGAATCATCGGGATTTCCACGGGATCTCATGACTGAAGGTATTCACTTCCTTTTCCTCCATTTTACACGTATCCAAGCTTGCAAAAGCTCTACTCGAAGATTCTTCTGGCACTGCATACTATTTTTTTTTTCCACGTTTCAGCTGCCAATGTCTCACTTGACTATTTTTTTTGTATTATTTGTTTATGATGACGTGGCTTCACAACTTAATGGTGACTTCGAAGACAAGGAAATTGCAGACGTTATCACACTCGGAGTAACAGTGAATATCAATAAATGAGGATCGATCTCCGTGCTAGTTCTTGCGTAACGGGGGAAAAATTCAATGCGATCGAGCTCCATCGAGTACACCGTAAAACGCTTAAATTCACTCTCGACTGGGCAGCAGCACAAGAACACTCTACACCTGTAGTAGAGAAAGGCGGCGCTCTCGATTCTTCTCTCACGCTGCTGGAGGGAAAAAAAAAAAATTGCCAGAGAGAATCATTTGCGAGTACTCTCTCCTTCTCGCCGGCGATTGCTTCGATATTCCTTTTCTTCTTTACGTCCGCTTCCACCACCCCTCCTCGTTTTACGAGCAGAATAAAAAAAAAACGTCGCCTCTTGTTCTTCTACTTTGGCCGCTGTTCTCCCTTCTCTATGGTTTTTTTTTTCTGTTTTATGGTGGATCACTTTTGCGCTTTTCGAAATATTACATCACGCATACGCCTTGTTTGTCACTTTATTCGAGTTCTTCATGCTATTTAGGTACATTGAAATTTTGTCTCCACACACGCAAACTCAATATTCCAGTTAAAGCTACGTTGGAGCAAAGTCGGGGGTGAAAGTTGAAAACGAGTTTAGGAAATTCCTCCCGTAAAATGCAGGAGCTTCAAATCCGACTCAAAAGAGGATGTGCGCTTCGGTCAGAGGCAAATGAAGCGCGCGCGCCCCAAATGAATTCCCGTGTAAGTAGCGCGCACAGCTTTTGCAATAGTGGCGCCCGAGAGATTTGCATTCGTTACGTATAATTCGAAAGAGCGAAAAAAAAAGGGAACAGACGCACTGAGCTCCTTTTTCATTTGCAGCCGAGCGAACTTCCTCGTTTCAATTCGCTTTTCTTTTTTTCACTGTTTACGTCAGCACGTTGCTCGTCGTTTGAGCTGGTTTTTCATCGCGGAAAATCGAGCACCGGCGATTATGTGATTTCTTTCTCCGTCCCTGACTTTTCGTTCGGTTTATCTCGCGATGGAAAAAAAGCAATTTAAAATTTCAAGATAATAAAGGCCCGTTTATTAGTTCCGACCTTCGATTCTCATCGCCCGCTCGAGTTGATGAATCCGTTATTAGAAAAGTTTGACAAATGCTACTTAAACCTGCAATGCTAACGACTTGCTTCTTCTTTTACTCTCGTCTACGGCTGTTTTTTTTTTTTTTTTTTTTTACAATTATTTCGACAGCGGATATCTTCGATAAGCGATATGCAATATCCGACAGCACCATCTTCGGAACAATCAGTCGGGAGATTCGCATCGTCTTACTAATTTGCTGTAGTGTAGGTCGTCCTACCTCCTGAATCCTGTGAATCTCTGCTTTTGTCAATTAATATTATCGACTCTACAACGTGGCACTTCAATCCACGGAAATGCAACAAAACTGATCCTCCCTCTTTTTTTGGTGCGAGTTTAGCGATAGCTAGAGGGGACCTGATAAATATTCATCGAAAGAGGGTCGCTCAAATCGTCCGGAAACTGATAATCTCGTCATTCGCTCTGTTCCCTTTCCTGCTGTCTTCTGTCGGGCCACTTCTCCCTCCTCTTTTTTTCCCCAGTGCAATTTTCTCGTCGTATTTTTTTTGCCTCTCTTTCTCCTTTACAAGAGCGATTTCTCAATTTCGTATGCATACAGAGGAGGGCCACGGGGGAGGAGGAGAAAAAAAAAATTGCAGAAAATAACGTTCGAGGAGGGATATAATGCTGAAAGAGGTTAAGTGCCTACCCACCTCCGTCTCTCTCGCCCCTTTGCGTTGCTCCCTACAGCTGCTCGCGTGAAGTCTTGCGATATTTTTCTCGCCGCTACTTTTTTTTTTTTTTTTTTTTTCCTACCCCTCTTAAATTCTCCCGGCTTTTCCACGCAGGTATTATAAATTACGGGATTTGATGTATTTATAGTTGGCTCGTTTCGTGGCGAGTGTGTGGTATTAAAATGACGGGAAATTACGATTTGGTTATTCAATTCTTTTTTTTGCGGCCAATAGCGTTTGAATACGCATGGATTTTCGATTCGCTGTTGAGTGTTTTTGGGTGACGCTACTGCCAAACAAAATTTGGGATTTTCTCGCGTCACTGGATTAAAACTGAAGCTGTAACGTTGACGAGTGCACGTCTGTGTACGGTGGAAGAGAAAAAAAAAAAAGATGAGGATGATCGCCTGCTGCCAATGGAAGCACCGGACGCGAGTTTTATTTTTGTTCTATTTCGAGGCCCTTGAGTGCGCTGGGGATTTCCTGGTTCTCTCTTCTTTTTTACTGCTATTACTCTTTCGAGGGCAGAAAAAGAGTCGAAAGGACGACTGGTATATTACGGCAAAAGGTGGACTAGAGCTACTTCTATTTACTACCGCAGCGTGGAGTTGAATCTAGCGAGTTGAGAGTCCGGCTTGCTAGCTGATGTGTGATTTTCTTCTTTTGCCCTACTTTTTTTTTTTTTTGTAAATAACACCTCTACGTTGGGTCTGATTTTTCGAATTCGATAGAAAAAGAAAAAGAGATCTTTTGGTCAGAAAAATCAGTGATTTACGGTTCCATGCATATATATACTTCTTTTTCTTTAAAAGATTGCCGAAAAATTTTCAAAAGTTTCAAGCAGTCATCGTAATTATATTTTCAGTGGTAAGATGCGAATATGACCAGCCTCGAAATTTTTTAAAATATGAGTTTACATTAATAAAAAAAATCACTAACTTAAGTAGTACGGTACGAGTATGGTCAGCCCGAAAACGAATGTACGTTATCAACGATAAAACATCCTGTCTGCAGTAGTATGATACGAATTTTGTCGGTCCATTTTTTTTTTCAAAACTATGATATTAATTGTAAAACTTACTATACTTAGTAGTATGAAACGAATATGGTCAGACTAAAAAAATGTTTAACATTAGATTATTAATTATAATTCTTACTTGTTTCAGTAGTACGATACGACTATGGTCAGCCCAAATAATTTATTCAAAACGAATTTATGTTATTGACGATAAAACGTATTGTCTTCAGTAGTATGATACGAATATGGTCAGACTAGAACGTTTTTTAATACGAGGTTACCATAGTAGTACGGCACGACTATGGTCAGCCCAAAAGTGCTTTAATGAGTTAAGTTGACAATATTAATGATAACTCTTACTTACTTCAGTAGTATAATAAATATAGTCAGCCAAACATATTATTTAAATTTTGTACCCTTTCAATGACTAACATTATGGTCGAGTTCACGTTGTAAAGAAAAATAAAGTTTGGGTACATTACTATTAATAAAAAATGTTGGATTTTCATCGTATGACACAAATAAGATGAACCTAATACTTTTCTTCGAAACCAAACTACTAATAAAAAAACTTTCGATTTTCAGTAGTATTGTACAAGTACGAGAAAGGTAATTCGACGACATTGCATTTTAACGATGCAATAACGTACAAAAACAACTGTTGTGGAGTCCAATAGCTTGTATATTTTTCAGTATAAGAGAGCCACCACAATTAGACTGAGGCAAAAGCTAAATAACACTTGTACCTAAAATATTGATAAACCAACCAACCATTTTATCCCCACTATACAAAGCCATCGTTAAAATTGTACAACAGTTTCAGCTGAACCGCAGTGCATATCCTTCAGGCACAAAAGGCCGCAATCTCGTGGTAATAAATAAAGCGTGGAAAAAAAAAACCCTCGTGACCGGAATCACGATAGAGTAAACGCTCGTGGATCTAATATTAAAGAAGGTGGGATGATGTACTCTCTTGCCGCTGCTGCATTGGGGACGTGTATACCGTATATACGTACCACTAGTCGTCACTGTTACATGAACGTTTTATGCACGTTGCCAGGCAGTGGGTAATACACAGCGACCCGTGCAATGCTTGAGACTATTTTTCTCTCTCTGGTTTTGTGGGCGCGTACATACGCTCCTGACCGATATGAACGTGTTCATGTGTCTGTAAACT